ATTGTCGGAAGTTTGACTTCTAAACTTCCTTCGACTATGAATATCCCATTGAATCACTATAAAATCCCATTTCAATGGGCCATTTTCAATAGCTTTTTGTATGTTTACCAGGTCGAGTAATTCATCTGAAGTTCCAGATTCCAGTTGCGCCAGGTCTGAGGCTCGTGAGAGCTGTGCCACCACGGCGGCCACGGCCAGTGACCGTGAGGCGTTTTTGCGCGTTGCCGCGTTGGCGAAGCATCAGTTTTTCGTCTTTTTTTAGGGTCTGGGCGGCCATTGTCCAACATTTCATTTCTGAATAGCATGATCTTGATAGGTTTGATGATGTTTGATGGAACTAAGAAGTTCCGGCTATAATTTCTATCATCTTTGAAGCAACAAGTTTTTGGACCCAAGGTGAGTAAACCTATGGTGACGACGATCCTCCAAATTTGATAGTGACATTGCAGATGCAACAGGTCCGTACCATGGATTGCACGTCCTACCCAGGGTCCATCAACATGTCACCCAGGTACCCAGCAGGTACCCAGGTTCAATAGAAAATATCAAAAATAGAGATCCAACTTCGTCAGACGCACTGCAGATTTCTGACAGACCATCGAATGGTACCACCTGATTATCACAAATAATAATATGTATATAAATATATATATATATTTATAATCTATAAGTGGGTCATTTTTCATAGCTACGTTAGATAACAAGAATGTATCCCATAGTATGTGAACAATGATCCCCTTTTTGCCAGGCTCGGAACAAAGCACAACTGGCAGAGGCAGCTAGTGATGACATACTCAGAGGGACAAATCAAGCGGATGGAGATACTTTTCTGGAACAGAACTCATTTGTGGTTTCAAGTATTTTGGGTCTGTAAATGTCTGTAATGCATGTTCACGACCAAAACCCTTTAGATACTTTAGGTGATCAAGCATCTATTTCTGCGTCCCATCTTGTGATGATGCTTTCGAATCCAACATGTGCGCACAATTGAATCCAAGCCTACGCCGGGTTGCAGCCAACAATTCCCTTACACACATAATTTTGTATGTTACACAAATATACATATAACATATATAATTATATCATATATAGATAGCAACATACTACCTCTTTGAGGTTGGCAAAAGACAAACAAGATAGATCTTTGCGGGGGGTAGCATACGTATATATATATATACATACATGTATACATGAATAAACAATCACAAATAAGTAAATAAATATATAAATACACAAATACATATATATATATATACATATACATATATATATATATATCTATCTATACAGAACACAGCCATAGAGATACTCAGATCACGATCTCAGGCCTTGGCCGAGGTGGGCCGCTTGCAGGAACGGACCAAAGTGGCCAACCAGGCATGGCGATTTTTTCGCCGCAGATGGCGAACTCCCGAGCGAAAATCATGGGAAAAACTGAAAAAGATGTGAAAATCATGGGAAAATATGGTAAACTATTGGAAACATAGGGGGAACATATGGAAGACTACGGGAAATTTATGGGAAGACACTCTATAAATGGAGGCTTATAGCTGCGACAATCATCGAACTACGTGATAGATTTTCCAGAAAACCATGTGACTGACACCGGAGGGTACATCTTGTTGTCACCATAGCTTATGCTTGGGATAAACATATTCCTAGCATTCCATGTGCGAATAGAGGGCTCTCAGTAGATCCTGTGACAAGTCACCATTTGTGGCTTGAGACCA